TTCGGCCCGAGCCACGACAGCGCACGATGGGGCCACACAGAGGACATCACCATTGAGGTCCTCAACCAGACCAGGTGAAGACAACACCTGAGGAGATCTCTCTCGCTCGCTCTCTCTCTCTTTCTCGCTCTCTCTCTCTCTCTCTCTCTCTCGCTCGCTCTTCCGAGTTCCTATAATTATTATTACTATTATTACTACTGTTACTATTGCTATTATTATTATATTTACTATCATTACTTCATTACTGTTATTACGTTTATCACTATTATTATCACTATAACATCTATTATTACTATTGTTATTACTATAACATCTATTATTACTATTATTACTATAACATCTATTATTACTATTATTACTATAACATCTATTATTACTATTATATCTATTATTGCTATTATTACTGTTGTTATATGTGACCACACAATCCGGCTGTTTTCCCCAGTGTCAGGTGCAGTAATAGTTGGAGCTCGTGTGACAGAGACACGGGCTTTATCCCGTCACTCCCCTCGTCAGGACTGAAGAGGAGACGAGACACTGAGTTGATCTCCTCATCGCTGCCTCCGGTACATTGTGTGTCTGTGAGTGTGAGGAGTAAGGAAACTTGTCCAACATTTCGCCCCGACCCGGCCCCGGCCAGGAATCGAACCCGGGTCCTCTGGCCTTCGAGGCGAGGGGTCTAACCCCTGAGCTACAGGGGCTGTGGGGTGGAGGCGAGGGGTCTAACCCTGAGCTACAGGGGCTGTGGGGTGCGAGGCGAGGGGTCTAACCCCTGAGCTACAGGGGCTGTGGGGTGCGAGGGGAGGGGTCTAACCCCTGAGCTACAGGGGCTGTGGGGTGGGGGGAGGGGTCTAACCCCTGAGCTACAGGGGCTGTGGGGTGGGGGGCGAGGGGTCTAACCCCTGAGCTACAGGGGCTGTGGGGTGGGGGGCGAGGGGTCTAACCCCTGAGCTACAGGGGCTGTGGGGTGGGGGGCGAGGGGTCTAACCCCTGAGCTACAGGGGCTGTGGGGTGGGGGGCGAGGGGTCTAACCCCTGAGCTACAGGGGCTGTGGGGTGGGGGGCGAGGGGGGGGTCTAACCCCTGGGCTACAGGACTCAGTGCGTATTGAGTTGGGTGAATGGCTCGCGGGTGTCCTGTGCTGAGCCCAGGGTTGTGTTTCACACAGGACTGGGGGTGTGAGGGCCCAAACCTGTGGAAGAAGACAAAGGTATCTCCTGGTCACTACGCCGCAGCTACGACCTACTGCCCGGAGCACCCGCACCACCATTACAACCTGAAACCAGGTACAGACATGGCGGCCGTCGGGTCTCTTCAAATAATCATCCCTCGCACTCGTCACCTCGTCGAGACCTCGATCGATCGCGTGCAGTGAGTCGCCCCACAGAACGCACAGTCACTACACTTTACAGCCAATCTATTATCATTACTAACGTTATCGCTGTCGCCATCACCACTACTGTTATTGCTATTGTCGTTATTACGCGGTGTGATCGGGCGCTCAATAACAACAACAATCCTTGTGGTTGACCCGACGCCTCAACACGGTACCGACCATTTGGAGCACTCAATCCTCCGCCCTTGTTTCGCCGCAGACGTCCCCCGGTTCCTCCTGAGCGCGTCGGTGGAGATCAGCAACGTTTTGCCCGTGCTGAGCTGCGTGGACTGCGAGGTGAACGCTCCTCTGTGCAAACGGTCCCGTCTACTGCAAGGCCCAGAACTGCTCCGTGTCCTCGACCAGACCAGTGTCTCTGTCTTGACCCTGCCTCAGACCCTCGGGCGAACCTAAGGACGTAAGGAATTCCAACCCCCCACCCCACACAGAAACAAGACTTGAGGTCCATCTCGTTGTCCTCCCGCCTTCCTTCCTGGCTGGCGGTCGCTGGCTCACATGCCCCGAGCTCCCCGTGTGCCGTGTCCCATCACGTCCTTTCCTAAAACTATCTCATCCGTGCTTGAAGGACTCAACGTCTCCAGCTTCGACCGTCTGTCTCTCCAGGGAGCCTACTATTCGCGTTCCCCCCTCCCCTCCACCCCCACACCCCACCATCAGTGGTCGCGGCTTCAGCTTCTCTGCCCTCCATCCCACCGTCCCTCCCCCTTCGCCCCCTCTCTCCCTCCCTCGCCTCCTTCAAGACCCGTCCCAAGACCTTCCTCTTCGACCGACCGCGCCTTCAGACACCCTCCTGCCTCCCCACCCTCCACCCCCTCTTGATCCCCCTGTTCAGCTCGGGGTCCAAACCCCTGACTGTCCAGCAAACTTGGGAAGTCCTCCCTCCTGCCGGGAAAGGCGGGCGTGTTGCTGCTGCTGTTGTTGTTGTTCTCAAATCCAGCCCAGATTGCGGGCAGGAGTGTCGGGGGGGGGGGTGGGGGGTGGGGGGAAGGGGTTTGGGGGGAAACGTTATAGAAATTCAAGCTAACACCAGGCTTCACAAAGGCAATAACGTGTATTTGTAACGTGCGACACCAATACATTAAATCAAATTTGTTTACTTGGATTAATATTCTTTTTTTTCTTCGGCTTCGGTCAGATAAATATATGGAACTAATCTGTTTCTAGAGTACCTGGGTGGCGGGCGGGACCTGTCCTGGTCAAATCACTTCACACGGGAATCTGGTGACGTGGGTGATGGGCTGGGAATCTGATCCGGTGCGAAAACCCGACGAGAGAAGAGGTGGGCGGCTGGACCTCCTCGTCGTGTCCGGAGAAGGAGCCTCTGGAATAGAACGGGGGGAGGGGGAGTGCGGAGCTCCATCCAGTCCATCCTTCGTTTCCCGGCACAGCCAACGCCATTTCTGGATGGGCCTCGTCCACCTTCTCCGGGGACATGCTGATGTTTGAGGGACGCATCACACCCACCACCCCCTGACCGTCCCAGTCTTCTCCTTCAACAGGAGCTTGACCCTCATCCTTTGAGGTCTCATTCAGTCTAAATATCTCTTGGAAGAGGAGATCGGACAGAACTTTTCCCCAAGGTAAGTCCAACCGACTGATCTTGGGTAAAGTGGGAATCTTAAACCACGGTTCCTCTTGACCCCCTAGGGCTTGTGTCTTGACCCCAACGTTCAATGTCTCGGTCCTGGCCTTCTTGGAAGCTCTTGCCTTCTTGGGCGTGGTAGGATCTTGGCCGCAGTTGAAGATGACCTTAGCCCAAAACTCGGAGAGCGATCGGGACATTCCCGACCTGGATGTCCGCTTGTTTTCGGGAGACATCTTTGGAGGCGAGGTCTCCTCAAGGGAGATCTCCACAAATTCCTCGTCGCTTGTTGGACTTGGCCGGTTAGGAGGGGGTGAGACTCTTCGTGGTCTGCGTGGCACACTGATGTTTTTCTCTGACGCAAGCTGGCTTTTCCCAGGAGAGTCTGACCCCGACAATGTTCCCAAACCCCCGGACACATTGGGAGAAATTTGTCCACCCGGAGCACCTGAGTTGGCTGCTGAGATCTGAGAATAGAGACGGGAGCGACTCACAGAAACCAAGATTATTTCTTCCAACTCCCTCCTTGTCGGCCTCCCCAACTCTTCCCTCCACAAGCTGCAGATCATCCAGAACTCTGCAGCTCGTGTCCTCTCCCGCACCAGGCTCCGTGACCCCCATCACCCCCACCCTCTCTCTCGCCCGGCGCCACTGACTCCCCATCCCCCAGAGGATCGAGTTCCAAATCCTCGTCCTCGCCTATCTGCCCCCACCCTCTGGAATTCCATCCCACAGTCCCTCCGGCTCGCTCCCTGCCTCGCCTCCTTCAAGGCCTACCTCAAGACCCTCCTCCTAGACCAACAGCGCCTTCGGTCACCCTCCTACCCACCCACCCCACCCTCCCTGCGCTCTACCCCCCCCTGATCCCAACCCCTTATTCAGCTCAGATCCAAAACACTGACTGTTCAGCGCCTTGGGACGTTCTCCCTCCCGACGTGAAAGGCATGCGCTGGGGGGGATGTCAGTTTGCATTGTTTTGTTACCTTCTGACTACCTTGTGCCAACGGTTCATTGGCATCTGAGAACAGTCTTTGTCTGTCAGCACAAACCACACCATTTGAAGAACAATCTTGAGCACCGAGAGTGGTCGAGGAGGAGATTGGGTTGGAGTTTCTGGAAGCAATCTCGGATTTGGAACCATATTCAAGCAAAGGTTTGGAAGCCAGTGACCGAGGTTCACATCGGCCAAGGCTCGGATCTAGACCTTTGCCTTTCATCTTCGTGAGCATCAGCCTAGCTTCGAATTTCCCTCTTACACTCGAACAAGTTATTATTATTGACTCGTCTGGGCCAAGATTATGACTGGGACCAGGGCCTATGTTTGTGAGAGACGCCTTAGGGACCTTGGTGGCCTTCAAGACTAGAAGCGAGCTCTCATCACCACGTCCAGAGGAAGAATAAGAGATCGAGGCGTTAGGAGGTGATGGGTCCTGGCCACCGATGGGAGGGTGCGAGTCTGGGCCGTGGTGCTGGGTGGAATTTGGGGAACGTGGACTATCTTTTATCACCTCACTGACAGCCTGAACGATGGGCTTTGGGGATAAGCCAACAATCAGCTCCAGGTCCGTATTTGTCGGAGTTCCAGTTTCTTCTCTGGCTGAGCACTCGCTCTCTGGGTGTCCACTTGCTCCCAGGAAACAACCCAGAATACGATCCCGAATGGATCGGCCGGATTCACGGAGGGTTAGGAACGGGCCACAGGATCCAACTGTCACTTGGGGCAAAGACTTGGGCCTTGGGGAGGGCTGGAAACCTTTCTCCTGGCGAAGGCAACAACAGGCGAGCTCTGTCACACCCTTCTGCCTTTGTCTCCTTCTGCGATTGACATAGGGCATTGCTTTCATGATGACGAGGCAGGTCATAAAGACCGCTGCGATTAACACCAGATCTGTCGGAGGGGAGGGGAGAGGAGGGGAGGGTGGAGGAGGGGGTAAGGGAGGAAGCGCATGTTCAAATAAGAAGTGGCACCAGTCCTCTCCAGGCTCCGCTGGCTCCCCATTACCCCCGGAAAGTGATCCCCCAATCGCCTGACAAGCGGGTTCCTACTGACTGCTGAGAAACACAGGCGTGTGTCTTGCGTGTGCGTGTCTGCGCGTGCGTGTGTCTGTGCGTGTGTGTGTGTGGAGTAAGGAAACCTGCCCCAAAGTTGTGCCCCGCACCTTCCCGGCCCGGAATCGAACCCGGGTCCTCTCGAGGGCTCCAACCGCTTGAGCTCCAGGAATATTTCAATCGCTCACCGTGTGGACGTTCCATGAGGGTGGAATTTATATGATTCGATTCGATTCGATTCTCCGCCGGGGCTTCGAAGCGGAGGTACGGACCGTCCGCCAGTCCACGGACCCCGGGCTCTTCCTCGCAGGCCGAGCGGAAGCCATTCTGCCCCGGTTCCCTCGCACTGTGATGCTCCGGCGAGGTTCTCTGACACTGGGACGCTGTCTGTGAGCTCATAAACAGCCCAACCGCGGAAGGAAGTGGGTAAAAACAGCCCACCCTGTCTAAAACAACAACAACAACCACCACTACTGTGGGGTAAGAGCGGGGGAACACTCTCCCTCTCTCTCTGGAGGGACGCCCCCCCCACCCCCACCCCCCGCTTACCTAATTCCGGAGAGTATTAGGCGCAGGTTGGGTGTGAGCCAAGGCTCGGGGTGGGGAGGGAGCCCTGAGTGTGCGTTGGGGGTAACTCCTGGGGGCTAACCGGCTAAACCCACACACAGCTCGGCCATCGAGAGAGAGAGAGAGAGAGAGAGAGAGCGAGGGCTGTCTGGCCAAGCTTTCCCGCTGCGTGTCCAGCCGGGACCCCCACTCCCCGCTAGTTAAGGCTTTGGCTGCGGGGGGTTACCAGGAGCTGAGGGGGATACCTTGATGGGAACGAAAGGAGATATTAAGTCCGGGTGTCAAGGGAAATGGGGAAAGGGCGGGAAATTGGAGTTGAGGCACAGAGCGAGGGGCTGAATGGCCTCTTCCCGTTCCTGCCGCTCATTTCCTCCAGTCCGTCCTCCAGGCCACGTTCTCCTCCGTCTCCGCGGCCTCCTTGATGACCTGCATGACCAGAGCGTTCCTGCGGTCGGTCTCCCGCTTCCGCAGTGGATTGGATTCCGGAAGCTCCTGCGGGAGGAACGGGCAGAGGGGTCAGCCCAGGGCGCGAGGGGTCAGCCCAGGGCGCGAGGGGTCAGCCCAGGGCGCGAGGGGTCAGCCCAGGGCGCGAGGGGTCAGCCCAGGGCGCGAGGCGGCAGACAGAGCAAAATAATACAGTAGTATATTTATTATAACACTGCAGTACATTGACCTGCGGATGTCAGTGAGAGCGTAATATAATAATCTTTACCGGTAAAGAGGAAATGTGTGTCTGTCCGTCAATCACACGATAACCGATTGACGTAGAGACGTGATTTATACCTCATCGGAAAGGTCTTGCGTGGGGGAGCGTCGTGGGCATATTTTTTTTCCCCCGGGGCTCTCCGACCGTGACCTAAACAAGCTCGTCACTCCAACAAGGAGTCCTCCCGACACGAGTCCTCCCACAGCAGTCCACCCGCTGGGGGCCTCCCACTGAGTTATCCCAAATGGGAATCCTCCCACAGGTGTCCTCCCAAAAGGATGCGCAAATACGTGAACACGAGGTGGTAACGCGTTCGACACCACATTTACTTAATCTTAAGGGACATACAACAATAATAATAATATAACAATAAAAATATTATAATTGTAGTGATAATAGTGACATTAACGCAGTGGCTGCAGCTACACTGACCTGTCATTGAGAGAATAATATCTAATATTAATATCTAATAATAATATAATATGAAATGATATCTAATAGTATCTTATAATAATGTACAACATATAATAACGCAGTGGCTGCGGTTACACTGATCTGTCATTAAGTGAATATAATATATAATAATAATATAATAATACTATAATAATATATAATAGAATAATATATAATAATATAATGCAGTGGCTGCAGTTACACTGATCTGTCATTGAGAGAATATATATAATATAATAGAATAATATATCATAATATAATACAATAATATATAATATAATACATAATAATATAAAATAATAGAATAGAATATATAATAGAATATATAATAGAATATATAATAGAATAATATATAATAGAATATATAATGGAATAATATAGAATATATAATAGAATATATAATAGAATATATAATATAAATATAATAGAATATATAATAATATAAATATAATATATAATAGAACACACAATATAATAACATATAATAGAATATATAATAATATAAATATAATATATAATAGAACACACAATATAATAATATATAATAGAATATATAACAATATTAATATAATAGTATAATAATAGAATATATTAGAATATCACAGTGGCTGCAGTTCTCTGACCTTCCGGATGGTGTCGCTGCGGTGCGGCCCGGGGGCCGCCACAGCCCAACACAGCGCCGCGGCCCCGGTCCCAACCAACAGCCACACCCCGGCTTTCAGGAGCCGCATCGCCAGCGCCGGGCCCGGGGGGGGGGGGGGGGGAGAGAGGACAAACCCCGGGGGTCGGTCGGTCAGTCCCGGGGGGTGAGAGCGAGCGCGAGGCCGCGGCGAGAGGCTCAGGTCAGGCCACGGCTCCTTCTCCTCTCATTGGTCCAGCCACCTGTCGGTCAACTGTCCCCCGAGCTGCCATTGGTCCCACTCAACCCGCCGTCGTCCCGCCTCCCGCGCTCTTCATTGGTCTATTCCGCTGCTACGAACTTCCGGTCTGGTGGTCAGGCGCCGCCCCGGAAGTGACGCGAGCCCTCTTTTTCTCAATGAATGTAACACCTTCTCGCAAGTGATACAAAGTATCTCAGACAAACCCCACAAATTACCCCCAAATCACCCCAAACCTACCCCCAAATTACCCCCAAACTACCCCCAAATCACCCCAAACCTACCCTCAAATTACCCTAAACTTACACCCAAATTACCCCAAAATTTACCCCCAAAATCACCCTAAACGCACCTTGAGCTCCAAATTTACCCTAAATTTACCCCCTAAACTTACCCTCAATTTACCCCCCAAACCTACCCCCAAACTTATCCTAAAATCACCCTAAAACTCCCCCCACACACCCCCCCAAAAAAGTTTTTTTTTAAACCCTAAACTTAGCTTAAACTTACCCCAAACTCACCCTAAAGTCCTGACCCGTGGGGGGGGGGGCCTTGAACCCACAACCTTCTGAGATGTGAGAGAGAGAAAAGGAGAGAGAGCGCTAACCTGACATTGGTTTCCATGTTAATACTGTAAATCCCCAGAAAGCCACGAGGTGGTGCCTCAGGTCCAAGGTTTCGAGACCTCGTTCCACGTTCCAATATCTTTGCGAGAAAAGACTAGAACAACAACAACAACAACAGGACGTTCCCCCACCCCCCCCCCCCCCAGCGCCTGCCTTTCCCGTCAGGAGGGAGGACGTCCCAAGGCGCTGGACAGTCAGGGGTTTTGGGGTTTGGGATCAGGAGGGCGGGGAGGGTGACCGAAGCCGCGGTCAATCGAAGGGGAGGGTCTCGAGACGGGGCTTGAAGGAGGCGAGGGAAGGAGGGGGCGAGGCGGAGGGATTGTGGGATGGAGTTCCAGAGTGTGGTGGGGGGGCACCACAGCCATGTCACCCGTCTCCACAAGCACTCTCCGCGTGGGTAAACGTTTCGCCCGCCAAACACACAGTCACTACGCTTTGCAGTGAAGCGCTTTGAGACGTCTCAAAGTCGTGATAAGGCCCTGGGTCAAATGCAAGGCTTATTATTATTATTATTATTATCACGTGTGTGCAAATTCAAAACATACATGTTCTTTCACGTGTGTTGGATGAAAGTGGGTCAAAAGGGTTTCGGCTGCTACAGCTCTAGAGGTGATATCACCCCCAAAATCACCACTAATTCCCCCCCCCCCAAAGTTACGCCCAAACTTACACCAAATCATCCCCAAACGTACCCTAAAATCACCCCCGAAACTTGTCGAAAAGTGCAAATTTCTCCCTTTAAAAACACAGCACTGTGAACCGCAGAGCAACAGGATGCGGTTTGTTTTTTTTCACGGTTGTTTGTGAGCCTGAGCTGTTTTTTGGGGGGACCAATCCCCCATGTTTTGTGAGAGAGAGAGAAAGGGGGGAGACTGGAGGCAACGACAACGCACGACATTTACGTAAAGCCTCGGGTTTGACCCGGCGCCTCATCACGTCTTCGCCGCGTCTCGCTGTCGAGCGTAGTGACTGCGTGTTTTGTGTGGCGAAACGCGGCAGCCGATCGCGCCCGGGCGACGTCCCGACGACCAGCCGGGGGCTGAGTGACCGAATTATTATTTTTGTGGAGGGATTATTATTACCCCCGGGAAAGGGATCCCCCCAGTCGACTAACGAGCGGGTTCCTACTGACTGCCGGGAAACACAGGCGCGTGTGAGCGCGTGTGTCTGCGTGTGCGAGTGCGTGTGTGTATCTGTGTGTGAGTGCGAGGTTCGAAACCTCTCGCTTGCGAGGCGGGGGGGTGGGGGTCCGACCACGGAGCTACAGGGTCCCCTCACCGCGGAGCTGCTCTGCTAATCTCACCGCAACGCCTCGCAAACCGGGGCGGCCCTCAAACCTTGTGGACGTGCACCCGAGCCCAGACCCACCCCAACAGCTGGCAACCCAACCCTCAGCTTTTGTTTCCCTCTGTGAGCTGTTCGGGGACAAACACACGTCCTCAAGTCTTCGTGCAGGCGCAGTCTGCTGCTCGGGCTGGTCCTCGCCTCCGACGCGACGTCTTCGAGGCGTCTCAAAAGCGCTTCACAGGATACGCTGCGAAGTGCAGTGACTGTGGGCAAAATTGCGGGCACGCGAAATAATGGGGTGAGAAGAGAGAGAGAGAGAGAGAGAGAGAGAGAGAAAAAGACGCGTTCCGCTTATCAGGGCTGCGGTTTGGATGAAAATTTGGTATCTTGTTGTTTGAGTGAAATAATCCTCTTACGGCTATTTTTATCCAGTAAGAAATTAAATCAGATTAAGCGGCTAAATAAGCAGCCGCGTGGAGCACACAGTTCCTTTGTGAAGTACGCCGCTTGTGCAACGTTGCCCAGAGAGTTCCTAACCGGGAGGACGGGGAGGGTGGGGGTCGGAGGGTGGCCGAGGAAGAGGAGGGTCTCGAGATGGGTTTTGGCGGAGGCGAGGGCGGAAGGGGGAGGGCTCCACGGTTTTAAACAAGAGATGTTTTAACGAGCAGAAATATTCGTCAGACGCCGTCGCGGTAATAGTCATCCTGGCGTTTGACACAGCGCCTCAGGGCGTCTTCGAGACGTCTCGAAGCACTCCGCGGGACGCAGCGTCAGGTGTCGCGACTGTGTGTTTTGTGGGCGAAGGAAAAATCAGCGCATTTACGGGCACCTGGACTTTCGGTTCTACAGAAATCCCATTCCCTTTGATGGATCGGCGTTGGCTTTGTGCCAGGATTGACGGGCGCTTTGCCAATGGAGGTAATACCAGGCAATTCATTAATAAAATCATTGCTGTATCTACGCTATTAATCTCGGTAAAGCTCCCCGGATTGAAGCGGAAACAAAGCGAGGCCTTCGCAGCCGGAGGAAAGGGCTTCTTTTATCTCTTCCGCTCCCTGTTCTCTCCGCTGGAAGATGGACTGAGTTTAGGGAATGTCTTCACACACACAGACACACACCTCACACTCAGAGACACACACACACAGACACACAGACACACACAGACACACACATTCACTCACACACACACACACGCATTCACACACACAGTTTACCAGCAGTCGGCAGGAACCCGATTGGTGGATCACTTTTTCGGGGGTAATAAACCCACCAAAAAAAATAATAATAATAAATTGGTCGCTCAATCCACAATTGTCCGTGGGGAACGTCGCTGGGGCGCAATTGGCTGCCCCCGCTTCGCCCCCCAAAAAACCCAGTCACTCCGCTTGACAGCGCATCCCGTGAAGCGCTTTGAGGCGTCTACGAAGGCGCGATAAGGCGAACGCAACGGATTATTATTATTATTATTATTAACTAACCGTGGCGATGACGATGACGACGATCGCCCAACGTTTCGCCCTGACCTGCCGGGAATCGAACCCGGGTCCTCTCTGCCCCCACCCTCCGGAACCCGTCTCCCCTCCGACCAACCGCAAACAGCGGGAAAGTGGACTTGAGGCGCAGATTAGCCGTGAGCTTACAGAATGCCGGAACAAGCTCGAGGGGCTGAATGGCCTCCTCCTGTTCCTAGGCACCTGTTGTCCGCACTCAGTTTAAGGGGTTCTAATGGAATTTGATCATTACTGTAATTCACCTTCTGCCATGAATAATGTACGGTCAGGATTGCTGTCTGCAGTCTCCGCTATCCATGACAATGTGCCTCTCTCCCTAAAACCTGATCCAGTTCGGCACATCGGATACACACCCGAACCTCTCACGATAGCAGCCTTGACCCGGCGCCCGATCACGTCTTCGGGACGCCTCAAAGCGCTTCGCGGGTCACACCGTCGAGTGTCGTGACTGTGTGTTTCGGGGGCCAAATCGCGGCAGCCGGTCGCGCGCCCGGCGACGTCCCCACAAACGGCCGCGGGGTTCAAGTGACCGAATTATTATCGTTTTGAAGGGAGCATTACCCCCGGAAAGTGATCCCCTAATCGCCTGACAAGCGACTGACTGCCGGGGACACAGGCGCGCGTGTGTGTGTGTGTGTGTGTGTGCGCGCGTCGGGGTGGGGGGTAAGGAAACTTGACTAAGGTTTCGCCCTGACCCTGCCCCGGCCCCGGTCGGGAATCGAAACCCGGGTCCCTCTCTCTGGCTCGCGAGGCGCGGGTGGGGGGGTGGGGGCGGGGGAGGGGGGGGTCTAACCCCCTGAGCTACGGGTCTTGAAAGCTCTCCATCCAGTCGAGTCCCCCTTTAACGCCAGACACATGTCGTGTTGGGACAAGTCACGTGTGGGTTCAAACGGCCCTCCCTCGCTCCTGATTGAGGGCAGAGAGAGAGAGCGAGAGAGAGAGCGAGAGAGAGAGAGAGCGAGAGAGAGAGAGAGAGAGACGTTTCAACTGAGTGCCCTATTAGCATTTGTGTCTGCAGGAGTTAGTTAGCTCAGCCGCCTCGCCAAGACAACACAAGCTGCTATCAAGACCCCTTTTACGTTCGCTCTCTCCCCTTCCCCCCCCCACCCCATCCCCTCCGTCTCTCTCTCTCTCTCTCTCTCCCTCCTTCTCTTCCTCTCTCGCTCTCTCGTCTCGTCGCCTGCGTTTGGGGGTGAGTTAAGTCTGCGTTACGCGGACGCGTCGGAGTATCTGACTGTACTGTGCACTGTGTTTTTCCGTCTCCCTTTGCTCGCAGGAGCGTCTTTAACCCTGCGTTTGGAGTGAGTGGGATAGAGGGTGGGTGGGGGGGGGGGGGGGGGGGGGGGGGAAGGGGGGGGGGGCGACGGCGATGGGCGGGTGGGTGGGTTTTCAGGCGGTTGGGGGCTCAAACCCTCCCCGGAACGCACGGTCACTACACTTTACGGTGTAGCCCGTGAGGCACTTTGGGACGTCTCAGCGATGCGATGAGGCGCCGGGTCGAACGCCAGGATTATTATTATTATAATTACTATTAACTCATCGCTTCCTGATGTCCCCCTTTGTCTCTCTCTTTCTCTCTCTCCGCCATCCGCTCCTTCCCCCTCGCTCTCTCTCGCTCTCTCGCTCTCTCTCTCTCTCCTCCACCCCACTCGCTCTCTCTCATTCCTCCCCCACACCCCCCTTTCTCTCTCTCTCTCTCTCTCTCTCTCTTTCCGCCATCCTTCCCCCTCTCTCTCCGCTGGATCTCAGACGCTTGTGTCAAGAGGAAATGATTGAGTTACACAAATGCCTTTGGGCCGCTGTTGGTTTCATCTTATTTTTCACTCCGTCTCTCTCTCTCTCTCTCTCTCTCTCCTCTCTGTCTCTCTCTCTCTGTCTCTCTCTCTCTGTCTCTCTCACTCTCTCTTTCTCTCTGTCTCTCTTTCTCTGTCTGTCTCTCTCTCTCTCTCTGTGTTTCGCTCTCTCTCGGCCACTTTCCTTTTGTTCTGCCAACTCGAAAGTTTAGAAGCTTTCAAGTGTGTGAGTGTCTCTCTCTCTCTCTCTCTCTCTCACACTGTGTGTCCGTCTCTCTCTCTCTCTCTCTCTCTCACTGTGTGTCCGTCTCTCTCTCTCTCTCTCTCTGTCCGTCTCTCTCGCTCTGTGGGTGTTTGTAGGTCTCGTTCACACACTCCCTTTCTGCCTGTGTATTAATCCCTGTCTTTCTCTCTATCTCTCTCTCTCATTTTCTCTTTCTCTCTCTCTCTCATTTTCTCTTTCTCTCTCTCTTCCTCTCATTTTCTCTTTCTCTCTCTCTCTCTTTCTCTCCCCCTCTCTGCCTTCCCTCTTATTTTCTCTTCCTCTCGCGCTCGCTCTCTTTTATTCTCTCTCTCTCTTTCTCATTCTCTCTCTCTCTCTCTCTCTCTCTCTCTCGCTGTGTGTCTCAGTTTCTTGCTCAATCCTTAGAATTGTGGTCACTTTGGAAGTTTAATAGCATTAAAAATAATAATAATAATCCCGGCGTTTGACCCGGCGCCGCATCATATCTTTGAGACGTCTCAAAGCGCTTCACGGGACACACTGTAAAGTGCAGTGACTGTGTGTTTTGTGGACAAGACTCAGCAGCCGATCGCGCCCGGCGACGTCCCCACAAACAGTCGTGCATTGAGTGAACAGATTATTATTTTGAAGGGATTATTACCCCCGGAAAGTGATTCCCCCAATCGACTAACAAGCGACTGACTGCCGGGGACACAGGCGTCTGTGTGTGTGCGTGTGAGTGTGGGTGTGTGCGTGTGAGTGTGTCTGTGTCTGGTAAACAGAGGCGTGTGTGTGTGTGTGTGTCTGTGTGTGTGTGTGTGTGTAGTAAGGAAACTTGCCCAAGGTTTTGCCCTGACCTGACCCGCCCGGGAATCGAACCCGGGTCCTCTCGCTCGCGGGGCGAAGGGGGCTGTATCCACTGAGCTCCAGGGACTGTGCGATGTGATCATTAACCCCTACGCTCTCTTTCTCGTAAAAACTTCAAACTTCCTCATCGAACTAAAGCAGAGGGTTAGAATTCCCCTAACCCGCGAGTCTGGGCGTCAGTTAGAACAGCAGTAACTCTTGGCATTTGGCACGGCGCCTGATCACGTCTTCCGAGACGTCTCAAAGCGCTTCACAGGATAACCTGTAAAGCGTAGTGACTGTGTGTTCTGGGGGCGACACACGGCAGCCGGTTTCCCCCAGCGACGTCCCCACAAACAGTCGTGGGTTGAAGTGAACTCACTTTTTGGGGAGAGGGATTATTACCCCCGGAAAGTGATCCGTCCATTGACTAACAAGGGTTGCCACTGACTGCTGGTAAACAGAGGTGTGTGTGTGTGTGTCTGTCTGTGTCTGTGTGTGTGAGTGTCTGTGTGTGTGTCTGTGTGTGTGTGTGTGTGTGTGTGTCTGTGTGTGTGTGGGGGGAGTAAGGAAACTTGCCCAAGGTTTCGCCCTGACCCTGCCCGGCCGGGAATTCGAACCCGGGTCCTCTCTGGCTTGCGAGTCGAGGGCTCCAAACCCTGAGCTACAGGGACTAGTTGAGGGAGGGGTGTGTGTGTGTGTGGGTGTGTGGGGACGTGAGGGCGTCTCAAGAGTGAAAGGAGTGAGGATTTATAGACTTGAACTGTATTTGTTCCTCCATTTGTGAAGAGAGTCGTTAAAGAAAAAAAACATCTTTTGCCGTTCACCACTTTCCGCCTTTGTTGTAATTGGGTTTTATCGCTTTCAGTTCGTGCAAACCATGGACTTGCAGTTTCTAAAGGAAGTCTCGCAAGCCACAGTGGCTTCCTCCCCCCCCTCCGCCCCGCCACCCCCCACCTCACTCCCTCCTACCCCCCGCCCCTCCGCTATGTCAACCTCGCCAACATCACCTCTAGCGTCCTGCAGCTCGGGGGTTAGAGCCTCCGCCTCGCGAGCGAGAGGACCCGGGTTCGATTCCCGGGCTGGTCAGGTCAGGGCGAAACCTTGGGCAAGTTTCCTTACTCTCCCCACCCCCCCCCACAACCCCCCCACACACACCCACACACACACCCACACATACACCCACACACACACACACACCCACACACACCCACACCCACACACACACGCCTCTGTTCACCAGCAGGAAGTAGGAACTTCGCTTGTAAGTCGATCACTTTCCAGGGGCTAATAATAATCCCTTCGAAATAAATAACTTAATGATAATCCGGTCTCTCAACCCACGGCTGTTTGTGGGGGACGGCTGCCGCGTTTCGCCCACAAAACACACTGTCACTACACTTTGCGGTGTATCCCGTGAAGGGCTTTGAGACGTCTCGAAGACGTGACGAGGCACCGGGTCAAATGCACGGATGATACGTTCAGGTCAGGGTATGAAGGGAAACTGGCAAAGTTTGGCTGGAGTAAGTCAAGTGTAGTGACTGTGCGACGTCCCCACAGACAGCCGTGGATGGTGCCACCAAATTATTCTTATTATTCCTTTTTTTTTCCCCCCCAAGGCATTTATTTATCCCCTTCCCTTTTACAAACAGTTCTGTGTTTTACTGCAGCTGTGAAGTGAGAGAGGGGCGTTCAGAATTATTTGGGCTCGCGACGAGCAAATTATATTAAAACCCTTTCTTGCTGGCGATCCGTCTCACGGCAGCTGCGATACTGATCTGCAAAGCCGTTCACGATTGCTAGAGAGTCTCCTAATCCCAGGCTTTTAAAGCTGGAGAGAGTTGAGTCACAGGCCACCTGCCCGGCTCTATCAACCTGCTCACGCTCTCTCCCCTCCCCTGACTCCGCGAACCACACACAGGACGCCCCATCACCTCCTTCTCACCACAGCCATCTCCTTCTCTCTCCCCCCCCCCCACTCTGTGAGGGTCTCGAGCCCCCGGTTCCCGAGCCAGGAGGGGCCGCAGGGTCCCAGGGCACTCGCTGCTGATGGCGGCCCGGCCCGGCCCAGACACGGGAGGACCTGGAAAGGGCCGACCAGTCACTGGGGGCAGAGAATCCTCCCCCTCAGCTCCTGGTAACCCCACAGCCAAAGCCCCAACTAACTAACTGGTGGGGAGGGGGGTCCGGGCTGGACACGCAACGGTTTCCATGTGTGTCAGACACCCGGCCGGTCACGGTGACGGGTTTCCGTGTGTGCGTGTGTCAGACACCCGGCCGGTCACGGTGACGGGTTTCCGTGTGTGTGTGTCAGACACCCGGCCGGTCACGGTGACGGGTTTCCGTGTGTGTGTGTCAGACACCCGGCCGGTCACGGTGACGGGTTTCCGTGTGTGTGTGTCAGACACCCGGCCGGTCACGGTGACGGGTTTCCGTGTGTGTTTGTTTCTTCCCCTCGTCCGACACGCAACAAATCTCTTAAAACCTGGGCTTTTGAGTCTGAATCTTACATTAAAGCTCCTCTGTCACCTCCTGTCTGTCAGTGTCTGAGCCTCAGCCCATAGCTTTGTGACACAAGTGGTTTAATTGGATTATCCTCAAATTTGACCCGGCGCCTTATCACCTCTTCGAGACGTTTCCAAGCGCTTCACAGGACACACCGTCAAGCGTAGTGACCGTGTGTGTTTTGTGGGCGAAACGCGGCGGCCGATCGCGCCCAGCGACGTCCCCGCAAACAGCCGTGGGTCGAAGTGACCAAATTACTATTCTTATTGCTGCTGTAAAGTCACACAACGCACAGAATTATTGGCTGAACGGTCTCATTCTGTGTTTCTCCGACCCTGACTCTAACGTCATTTGAATCTCTCGCTCTCTCTCCCTCCCCCCCCCTTCTCTCTCTCTCTCTCTCTCTCTCTCTCTCTTTCTCTCTCCTCCCCCAACCTTGCGTGATTAACATTCACGGACTGTCCTTCCTCTGCTCTTGTTCCTGCTCAGCTTTGCAAGCTGTAGCGAGGGGGAGGGGAGGAACAGATGAGGTTTGTGATATTCTCATCCGCTGTGCAGTCCCTGTGGCTGTGTGGTCAGAGCCCTCGCCTCGCGAGCGAGCGAGAGAGGACCTGGGTTCATTTCCCAGCCGGGCAGGTCAGGGCGAAACCTTAGGCAAGTTTCCTTACTCCCCTATCCCACCCCCACCTCCGCCACCCCACCACACACGCACACACACACACACACACACACACGCACACACACCTGTGTCCCCGGCAGTCAGTAGGAACCCGCTTGTTAGTCGATTGGGGGATCACTTTCCGGGGGTAATAATCCCTTCTGTAATAATAATAATAATACCAATAATGTGGTCTCTCAATCCACGGCTGTTTGTGGGGACGTCGCCGGGCGCGATCGTCTGCCGCGTTTCGCCCACAAAACACACAGTCGCTGCACTTGACGGCGTGTCCCGTGAAGCGCTTTGAGACCTCTCGAAGTCGTGGTAAGGCGCCGGGTTCAAACGTGAGGATTATTACGATTATTATGACTATTCCTGTATTATTTTGGATGGCAGTTTTCCAGAGGCAAAAAAGATCAGTGGCTGTGAACTGGCAAAGCGAGCGGGTAACAAGATGTTTTGTTCTTCACAGGTTAACTGACTGCTCATCTCTCTCTCTCTCTCTCTCTCTATCGCTCTCTCTCTCTCAGATAGTGTGACAAACATTGCAATGACGGAAGTAATGATGAACAGCTGTAAACCCTCAATGGATGAACTCGACTTGAAACACGACGACAACAGGCTTCCTTTCCAGGTACTATATCCCCCGGGGGGGGGGGGTAATAATCCCTCTCTCCAAAAACATAATAATAATAATAATTTTGTCACTCAATCCACCGCTGTTTGTGGGGGACGGCTGCCGCGTTTCGCCCACAAAACACACAGTCACTACACTTTGCGGTGTATCCCGTGAAGCGCTTTGAGACGTCTCGAAGGCGTGATGAGGTGTTGTGTCAAACGCCGGGATTGTTGTTGTTGTTGTTGTTATTATTATTATTGCTGCGCTCGCTAATTCAGGGGGTGAACGAGGGGAGGAGAGGGGGGGGGGAGGAAAGGAGAGAGAGGAAAGGTGTGGGGAGAGATGGGGGCGGGGAGCGTAGAGAGGGGAAGCTGGGGAGAGGGAGAGGAGGGAGGAATGAGAGGGGAGCGGAAAGAGAGAGAGGGAGGGAGGAACGAGAGGGGAAGGGAGAGAGAGCGGGGGAGACAGAGTAGGGGAGAGTGTGTGTGTGTGTGTGGGTGGGGGGTGGGGGGTGGTGGGGGGGGGGGGGGGTTAGAGGGCTGTCCACTGTGGGAAACAGCAGTTTCCTATCCCTTCTAAAAATACCCAAATTCCTCCGCACTCAAACTGCCTATTAATAGTCGTGTTTACACGGTTCAAAACTGTTCTCATGAAATTCTTCAGCAAATCAGACAGTATTTGGCTCCGCACCCAAGTCTTTTAGCTGAGAAAATCAGAACGGATAAAATCTCCTGCTTCCCCCCTTCTCCCACCCCCCCCCCACCCCCCACCCCCACATACACACACATTCGGGGTTTAATCCCCCCCCCCCCACCACCCTCTTCTTCAGTGATCTGCCTGCCCAACCCCATGAATAACTCGCTCACCTCCCCAGGTCAGGAGGTTGTGGGTTCGAACCCCACATTCACTGCTCCCCCCCCCCCCCACCCCACCGACCCCAATTCACACACACGTTGGGACTTTGAATTCTCCTTCGTTTCACACACTCGCACCTCCCTCCCTCCCACCTGCTCACTCACTCCTGTAAGTCCTGTAGCTCAGGGGGTTAGACCCCCTTCGCCTCGCAAGCGAGAGGACCCGGGTTCGATTCCCGGCCGGGTCAGGGTCAGGGCGAAACCTTGGGCAAGTTTCCTTACTCCCTCCCCCACCACATACACGCACACGCACACGCCTGTGTTCCCCGGCAGTGAGTAGGAACCCGCTTGTCAGTCGATTCGGGGGAATCACTTTCCGGGGGTAATAATCCCTTCAAAGCAATAATAATAATAATAAAAATTCGGTCACTTCAATCCGTGACTGTTTGTGTGGACGTCGCCGGGCGCAATCGGCTGCCGCCTTTCGCCCACAAAACACACGCAGTCACTACACTTACCGGTCACGTACCCCCGAAGCGGTTTGAGACGTCTCGAAGACCTGACGTGGCCCGGTGTCAAACGCCGGGGGTTATCATCATCCTCGTCATCGGACGGAGCCACCTGTCCAAGCCCCCACTCGCTCGCTCGCTCGCTCTGCGTGGGACGGAAGACAGAAAGGTCAGCAAGTTAGGGACCCTCTCTCCCACCACCTTCTCCCCCACCACCACACCGCACCCCCCCGCCCCCCGCCCACCCTCCATCACCCCGCTCCACTTTAAATAACCCTACGACGTTGAGTAATGGGTAGTTTGTGGATTACTATGGCAACATTCGGAATAACACAATAACAGTAAATTCCTGCTGTGGCTTTCCTGATCTCAGGCCAGTACGACAGACTCAACCGGGGTCTCGTGGGGGAAACCCGGCAGCCAACTGCGACCGGGAGCGTCCCGCAAAACAGTCGTGGATTGGACTGAGTGACCGCATTATTATTATTTTCGTCATTTATGTTTCGGAGGGATTATTACCCCCCGGAAAAGCGATCGGCCAACAAGCGGGTTCCTACTGACTGCTGGCAAACAGAGGCGTGTGTGTGTGTGTGTGGAGTAATACTATTATTATTATTGGTAGCATTATTATTTGGAGTCCCTGTAGCTCAGGGATTAGACCCCTCGCCTCGCGAGCGAGAGGACCAGGGCTCGATCCCCGGCCGGGCAGGTGGGTCAGGGCGAAAACTTAGGCAACTTTCCTTCCTCTCCACACACGCACACACACACAGACACACACATACATACAGACACATACACACCCGCACACGCCTCTGTTTACCAGCAGTCAGTAGGAACCCGCTTTTCGGCCGATTTTCCGGGGGTAGTAACCCCTTCAGAAACATAATAATAATAATAATTCGGTCACTTCAACCCGCAGCTGCTTGTGGGGACAATCGGCCCACGATACGCACAGTCACTCCACTCCACGGTGTAACCTGTGCAGCGCTTTGGGGCGCCTCGAAGACGAGATAAGGCGTTGTATCAAATGCAAGGATTATAATGATTACGATTGTGATTGTGGTGATTATTATTCCCCCGGCGTCTCTGCTCTGTAAGAGTCTGCACAGCACAGAGCAAGTTATCTGTTAATGGAAAATTCTGGGGTTTAATAATAGCTCCTGAGACAGAGATTAGAATTGACGTCCACGGTATTAGGTCTGCTCTCACCCAGAAAATATTTACCATTGATGAGGCCGTGTGAGCGTGTGATAGAGGGGAGGGGAGGGGAGGGGAGGGGAGGTGGGGAGAGAACCTTTTGAGATTGGCTTCTGCACACAAGCCCCGTGTAGCTCAGGGGGTTAGAGCCCTCGCCGAGCGAGCGAGCGAGAGGACCTGGGTTGATTCGGGGTCGGGGCGAAAACCTTGGCCAAGTTTCCTCCTCGCTTGCCTGAACGTTTTCGCCCCGCGACACGCACAGTCACTACACTTTACGGCGTGTAAAGTCGTCTCGAAGACGCGATCAGGCGCTGCGTCGAATGCGAGACCCACGTGATCTTCGGGCTTCTCTTCGACCGCGCCTTCGATCACCCTCCTACCCCCACACAGCCTCCTACCCCCACCCTCCCCTGCCCCCCACCCCCTCCTGATCCCAACCCCCTGTTCAGCTCGGGTCCAAATCCCTCAAATCCCTCCTCTCTCGCCCTCCTCCTAGTAATACGGTGCTGACATCTGCCTCTCTCTCTCTCTCTCTCTCTCCTTCTCGATCCTCGCGCTCCCCGTAGATCTTTCCGGATCCGTGCGATTCCTACGAGGGACACTGTAAACTGAAGGACCGATTGCCGTCTATTGTGGTGGAGCCGACGGACGTGAACGAGGTGGAGAGCGGGGAACTGAGGTGGCCGCCCGAAGAGTTTCTAGTCCCCGAGGAACAGATATCTTTCGTCGAGGAGAGAGAGAAGGCGGGAGAAGACACAGGTGGGTTGTGAACTAACTAACTAACTGATTAACTAACTAACTAATTAACTAACTACACTAAGACAGTGCTCTCTCTCTCTCTCTCTCTCTCGATGGCCGAGCTGTGTGTGGGTTGAGCCGGTTAGACCCCAGCAGTTACCCCAACGCAAGCTCTGGGCTCCCCCACACCCCCCCCCACCAACAAGCCTCGGCTCTCGCGCAACCTGCGCCTAATACTCTCCGGAATTAGGTGAGCCGGGGGCGTCCCTCCAGGGAGGGAGAGAGAGAGAGAGCGTCCCATCCCGACAGCCTATCTCGGGGGCTTCCAGGTGTGGGGGGGGATGTGGGGAATTCTCAGTTGGGTTTGGAGACTTTGGACGGGGGGGGGGTGGGGAGGACGTCGCCGGGCGCGATCGGCTGCCGCGTCTCGCCCACAAAACACCCAGTCACTACACTCGACAGCGTGTCCCGCGAAGCGCTTTGAGACGCCTCGAAGGTGTGTGATGAGGCGCCGGGTCAAACGTGGCCAACCTTTCGCCCAGTCCAGTCCAGTCCAGTCCAGTCCCGGGCGGGAATCAAACCCGGGGTCCTCCGGCTTGCGAGGCGAGGGCTCCAACCACGGAGCCGCCAGGGAGTCCACAAGGTGGTGAGGACGGGGGGTGGGTCGGGAGGTGTTTCGGGGTACGGTTGAGCCCGACGCGCGAAGCCCCAGTCACCCAGTTCCGACCTGCCCCGTCTTTTTCTCCCGGAACAGCTTCGCGGCGGGAGGAAGAGCAGAGACCCCCACCTTCCGAGGAGGGTCACCGCTCCAACAACTGAGGGGGTTCCCCTCGGCCCAAGCAAGATGGGACGCGCGGTGTTTTCCGAACATCCGTGGTTTTCCGAGCATTCGGACCGATCGGGAGCCGGGGTGGCGGGGGGGGGGGGGGGGGGGGGGGGGGGGGGGAAATTTCGCTTGAAAAAAAGCCACCTTCTGGCCTGCCCGACGTGAGGAACAATTCCTCGTTCTCGTCTCTCTCTCTCTCTCTCTCTCTCTCTCGAGCCGGGATTTTGAGCTCCTCCACACAACCCCCCACCCCCCCCAGCCCCTCCGACCCCACCATCCCCCCCCCACCCCCTTACTCCCCGCTCCCCCCTTCGCCCCTCAAAAATACAAACGACTCATGTTTAACACGGCGTCTCGGACCGCACGGGCAAACGGAACAGGATGGGACTGTGGGTCGGTCTGCAGCTGCCCCGTGAACCTTCGGCCCCTCAAACATAACCCCAGGGCGTTTTCTGCAGCTTTCTGAATTCCCGAGCCGCTGTCGCTCAGGACGTGTTCCTCCGAGCTCCCAAGACTTACTTCCTTCCTTCCTTCCTTCCTTCCTTCCTTACTGCCGCGTTTCGCCCACAACATATACAGTCGCGGTGTGTCCTGTCAAGCGCTTTGAGGCGTCTCCCAAGACACGATCGGGCGCTGCACCAAACGCAAGGATTATTATTGTCGTCGTCGTCGTTGTTGTTGTTACTGTTTTAACGGTCCGGGAATTGTCCCGGGTTGTCACGTCCGACCCTTGCTGTCTTAAACCTGGCTTCTGGCGCGGTTTCCCTGCGACCCACATCCACCTCTCCCCGCTCCCTCCGCTCAGCGGGCTCCGGCCCCGCTCACCCAACCGTCGACACTGCCTTACTCCGAACGCACACACACGCACGCGCACGCACGCGCGCACACGCACACACACACGCACGCACGCCTCTGCTTACCTAGCAGTAAGCGGGAACCCGGCCGTTGGGTCGATTGGCTGATCGCTTTCCGGGGGCAATAATCCCTTCCAAAAAAAAATAAATAAAAATGATGATGATTAACGGGGTCCATCAAACCGCGACAAAGAAACGCAGCCACTGCACGTGACAGTGCGTCCTGCGAAGCGCTGCGAGACGGCTCGAAGACCCGACGAGGCGCTGCGTCGGATGCCGGGATGATTATCGTTATGATTTTAACGGAAATTTTTGATTTAACGGATGGGAGTTTGGTTAGCACCGACGCTGGCTGGTGCAGCCGAACCTGTATATAGATTTTTCTGGGGGTGGGGGGGGGTGGGGGGTGGGGGGGGTTAAAAAGCGACTGAATTGTAAACGAGCAGCTCGTGTTACAGCTATTTTTCCTGCTTGTAGAGTCGACTTGCCGTCACCGATTTAATAAACCTGGCTCTCGTTTGACGTTTAGTTAAAAACTTGGTAACGCTCCATTTACCGACCCGCTCGCTCCCTCCCTCTCTACCCCCGACCCCTGGAACCTATTCCCACAGTCCCGCCACCTCGCTCCCTCCCTCGCCTCCTTCCAGGACCCGTCTCTTCGACCGACAGTGCCTTTGGTAACCCTCCTTACCACCCCCCCCACCCCCACCCCGCCCCACTCTCCCGGCCCTCCACCCCTTCCCGATCCCCCCGTTCAGCTCGGGTCCGAATCCCTGACTTTCCGGCGCTTTGGGACGTCCTCCCTCCCGACGGGGGAAGGCAGGCGCTGGGGGCAATGCCGTGTGTCGTCGTCGTCGTCGTTCTGGGATCCATGTGCCTGTGCCTGACACTCTCCGGAATTAAGGTGAGCAGGGGAACAGCGAGCGAGCGAGAGAGAGCGAGAGAGAGAGAGAGAGAGCGCGAGTGCGCGTTTCACTCCGGACTCTTTTAGGGATTGTGTTGGGCTTTTCCCGCAAAATACAACACTTGAAAGTGTCCGGAAAATGTACGAAGCCATATTTTTATTCACGGGGTTACCAGAAACATTCAAAACACATAGGACCACCTTCTCCCCCCAAAACAACTCAGGCGAGTTTCCTTACTCCGCACACGCACCCACAGACACGCACACGCACAGACACGCGCACACACACGCCTGTGTTCCCCAGCAGTCAGTCGATTGGGGGGGAATAATCCCTTCAAAAAAAAATCATTCGACCCACAGCCGTTTGCGGGGACTCCGTCGGGCGCGACCGGCAGCCGCGTCTCCACCCCACAAAACACACAGTCACCACACTTGACAGTATACGCCGTGAGAGGCCTCGGAGACGCGATGAGAGGTGGGGGGGGGGGGGGGGGCGCCGGTTCGAATGCGAGGACGACCACACCCCGTACCCGGGGCCCCGGCCCGTCTTCGAGGCGCCTCGCGGGTCACGCCGTCAAGGCGTAGTGACTGCGTCCTTTTCGCGGGGGTGACCGCAGAGCCTGCGCCCTCTTCACGAGGGGGTGACGAGGTAGGCGAAGTAGCAAACCCCCCCCCGCTCTCCGAGCTCCTGCGCGACCACGCTGACCTTCCCCAGCTTCTCCAGGGTGGGGATCCTGGCGTCCGGGTCTTCGTCGGAGAACTGGACGATGGAGCCTCCCGGGGCCAGCAGCCGGAGCGAGTGGGTCAGCATTCCCCGCAACTTCCCGTCCCCGTCTGCCAAACCGAGGGGGGGGGGGGGCACAAAAACAGTCAGCGGGGTCAACAGGAGAGGGGCGGCGCGGGGGGAATCGAGGGCGAGAGCGACCAGAGTTTCGGGGGGGGGGTGGGGGGAATCGAGGGCGAGAGCGACCAGAGTTTCGGGGGGGGGGGGGTGGGGAATCGGAGGTGAGCGCGACCAGAGTTTCGGGGGGGCACACCCTCACGCAGACCCCACACACACCGCCCACTGTGCACACACACACACACACACACACACACACCAGCCTGCGCCCACGCTTATGCCCGTTCCACGTGTACAGCGGGTAGGTCAAAGGCGAGTGTTATTCGCACCAGTATTTACACAGGCAGACGCACGTCGCCCCGACGCGAACCGCGCCCCAACAGTGGCACAGCCGCGCGCGCCTTACACCGGCGCCCGCCTCGACACGGCTGCAGGCTCTGGGCGCGCCCCTGGCGCTTTGCGCGCCTCCCCGCCACAACTGCAAACCCGCACGCGGGCCCCCGACACTGCTTTGCACGCGCGCGCACTTCTCTTAAGACGCACCCAACACAGTTTGCACAAGGCGACACGCGCGCACGAGCGCTCGCGCCCGCGCACACACACACACACACATCTCGGTTGAAATCCAATTGCAAAAAAAAAACCAGCTGCGAATATTCTCCCCCAAAGAACCCAAAATGACAGCTTTTTCGGGGCAGATACGGGTAAACTCCTCAACCAGACGATAGCTTTTTTTTCCCCCCGAAACCACACACCGCGCGAGCGAGAAACTTCACCATTAAATCCCCAGATTATGAAATCGTCGTAAAAATATACACATTTTTCTTTTTTGGGGGGGTCGGAGGGGGGTTTTGGGGGCGTCTCACGAGATCTGGGATTCTTTTTCCCCAGTTGACCAGTGTGTGTGTGTGTCTCTCTCTCTCTTTCTCCCTCTTTCTTTCCCCCTCTCTCTCTCTCTCTCTCTTTGGCTCCTTTCCAAAGCCTGGGGGGGGGTTGGGGTTGGGGTGGGGTGGGGTGTGGGGGGGGGATTGGCTGTTGTTGGTTGGAAGGAACAGCAGTAACTGGAAGCAGATTTTCTTTTGCAAAGGACAGGGAGAAAAACAACACTTTTTTATTTTAAAAAAAACAAAAAAAGACATTTGAGATTGTGTCTTTACATATAAAAGGGAGTGAGAGGGGGTGAGGGAGAGGGAGGGAGGGCGCAGTGAGGGGGAGAGAGAGGGAGGGAGGGGGAGGGAGTGAGGGGGGCAGTGAAGGGGTGGGGGGGAGAGAGAGAGAGGGGGGGGAGTGAGAGAGAGATTCGCAAACCCATTGCCTGGAACACACAGCGAATCCTCTCCGCAAAATGCCCTCACAGATGTGCTAATAGCCCAGAGCCCACCCGACCCCACCCCGACGTTTCCCAGACTGAAAACGCAACCCTTTTTGAACACCACGGGGTGGGGTGGGGGTGGGGGGGTGTGGGGGGTGGGGGGGGAAAGCAATCCGGGGAAAGAAAAGTTGCGTCCAAACCGAGGAACGTCGCAATTTAACTTAAAACTTCAAACGCATCGATTCGCGTTCGCACTGCGACTGCACAAGACTCTGTCGTACCCTTCAGTGCAAAGAGTTCCAGGTGTGTGTGTGTGTGTAATAATAATAATAATAATAAT